AACTAAGACTATAGACTACAACTATAGTATTGAAACTTGTCTCAAGCTTTTTCTCAGTGAAATAAGGAAACAAAGAAAGTCATCAAGTGCAAAAACTATAAAATTACTTCATAATAATGCTTGACTTGATACCTATTCAAATATTATTAATTATTGGTCACAAGAAAGTATTTAATATAATGTCACATCTTCCGTGTTCACTAGCTCTTATTTCATATGACTTTTATCTAAATGACTATATCCAATGTAATTTAATTGATCAAACAAATGAAACATCATTGGCTAGTACGGTTTCTAAGATAGTTAAAATTATTATAAAGGAAAAACTTAGAAAAAAAAACAGTTTAACCCATTATTAGAAAGCATAAAACTTTGTGTAAATCATCATGACGACTCTTCTAAATATTTAAGAAAATAAGACGAAAAATCTTTCTATAGTTTTTTTTATTCAAAGTCATCAAATTTTATAGTCAATTTGAAGTATTCATTCGTGTTATATTTATTTTGATGTTTAAAAAATCATAAGTCTTGAATATGTAATTCAAAAGTTTCATACTAATTTAAAAAAGACACTATAATGATTTATAAAATTAGAAATTTAAACTATTTATGATGATAACTTTAAATGTTCATGAATAAAAAGAACTGTATTAACAAAGCAATCACTAGCACATGATGTTTCACTAAGTGCATGATTACTATCATAAATATATAATTTTGTTGGAATTTTGTTGGCTTTCAAACATTCATAATAACGTAAACCAATACTACATGGTACACGTTTATCTTTTTTGCCTAATTGTAATAAAACTGGTGTTTTAATTTGATCGATAAGACGTATCGATGATCTTTCGATAAGATATGTAACTAGTGATGTATCTGCCAAACGATTACGTCCTGTTTCAAAATCAAATTGTCCATTGACAGATTGAGCTAGAGCCCAATCAGGTATATCCGATGTAAGATAAGTATGAAGAAGATCAGTAACTGGATTTCGTAAGATAGCAACTGTATATTCATTTGGATATTCTCCAATAAGACGACCAATAATAACACCTGCATGAGATCCACCTATAAGTACAACTGGTCGACTTGGTTCTGTATATTCGAGACAACGACATATAGCTTCATGACAATCTTGAACATCAATTTTTGATATATTACCCAATAACTTATCAATTGAAGCTAGAATAATAAGAATTTGATATTCAATATTCATAGAATTTTTGTCTATTTACCTTGTCCAAAACCAACTGAACCTCGATAATTAACAATAAGCATATCAAAACCTAATGAAATATATGCAACAACACCAATATAATAATTCACTAAAATAAGATTTATACACGTATATATATATTAATTATAAATTAATTTTAAAAACATAAACGAAATTATTAACAACTTACAAGTCACAGTTGAATTTGGTCCACCATGTATTAATACCATTAATGGTCGTTTTGATTGTGTATCATGTACATGAACATAAATCGATTCAACAGGAATTGATTCATTATCAGGAAAGAATCGATCAAGATTCCATTCAATTTTATTTTTTTCTTCTTTTTTAAATTCATGTTCAACAATTAAATGCCAATCATTAGTATCTTTATCTTTCTTATTTAATATTCGTAAATCGAATACATACAATCGAAATGGTGTACGACAATCAACAATATTAACTGCAACATAATGACCAAATACAGCTAGACCAATCATGGATGTATTAACACCTAATGGTGAATCAAGAGATATGATTTTTTGTTCAATAAAATCATAAATATATAGAACATTTCGTGAACCACATAATGAAGGAAGAAGAAGATATCGTCCATCCGAAGAATAACATCGAAGTGGAATAGATCCATAAAGACCTTTAAATTGTGTATCTCATTCGGCTGTAAATGGAGCAGCAGTTGGATTCGAATAGTTAACACTAATAAAAAATATTTTCAAATATTTTTTCAAGTATAATGCAAAATTCGATTGAATTTTATTCTTTTATGTTTTATATTTAATTTCATAGAACTAGTTAGAATTCATAGTATAGATAAAAATCTTGAAAAAACTTGTACTATTAGGTCTTTCTTTCTCAAACTATGATCATTTTACTGAACTTTCACCTTGAAATTTTTTCCAACAATTATTCTTATGATATTGTGAAAATTTTAGCCCAAATAGATATTTCCCTTTTGAGATAACATGTTTGCAAAAACAAAAAATTACTTTCAAACAAGAGCTCCCAAAAATAGACTCATGATATTCTTCAATAGATAGAGAGTTCAGTAAAATAATCATAACTCAAGAAGAAAAATCTGACAGTACGATTTCTTTCGAGATTCTTATCTACACTATAACGCCTACCTATGAGCTCAAACATGAAGATAAAACCAAATGTCTTATCTCATTTGACTCAGTCTGTTTCGCAGTACGAAAATATCTATTTTATTTTATTGATGAAAAAATCAAACATTTTCTCTAGAGTTATCACCTCATGAAGCCTGACAAGTGGAAAGTTTGTCTAAAAAAATGCGGAAAATTATATTGTGGTGTAAGTGTGAGCGTAGAAGTGTGTGTAGGGGTTTTGGGATTGGGTGCGGATGTGTGGGTATGGTGTCCATGAAGAGAAGACCTACACGCTCATCTTATTTCTTTTTCTTTCCAAAAACATCTACTATGACTTTCACATGATTATTTTCATCTTCATTTACTACCTTGCTATCATTTGATCATAAAAAAATTTTTAGATTTTCAAATTTGATATTTTTCTGTTTAAACAAAGCACGCAAAATAAGTTTGTAAAAGGAGTTTACGATCAATTGAAAGTACAATAGTGTTTTTGTTTCACAAATAGAAATTGAGAGCAAAATCTCTCTTTCATGGAAAAATTTTTAATATTGTTACACTGAGTTAATAGATCAAGGAATAAAAATGATAGAAAACTGTATAAGACAGTGATCGGAATTTCTTCAATAAGAATAGGTTTTCTTCTGTACCGAATTCGACATATCAAGAAAAGTTTTTATATCAAAAAGCGGAAGAGTTGGCAACTCCAATTTTCTCCCTATATAGACATACTCTAAACCTACATATTGATAAAATTAGCGTTATCGACATGATGAAGTACCAATATACAAAAGATAAGATACTCTTATATGTTCTCATATAATTAGAGAGATATTTGCCAATGAATAGTCAACTGAAAGAATCAATATTTTCTTTCTTTTACAAAAGTCTATATTAAAAGAACTTATTCAGAAAAATAAATCTCGTTCATTACACTTACTTATCTATTCGATCGATAAGAATTTTTTCTTGTTTTGTTTCAGTATTAAAAAGTATTAATCGTTTACATTGTACATGTGCATGATAAACATCCGATTGAAGATAAATAAATTCATTATCTTTTTTTGGTAAATGTCGTGGATATAATCGACATAATTGATCAAATTCTGTTAATTGTATCCATTCATGATTACGCCAATTACATTTAAATAAAGCAGTTGATCGATTTTCACAAAAAATTATACCTAATTGATATGGTTCAATACGAAATGCAACTAAAATAATTTCATCTGGATTTGTTGTCCATGTACATTGACCAAAATATAAATCTTTTGGTTGATTTTCAATTAATTTAACTTGTTTTGTATCAATATCAAATATACATACAACTGATGTTTCAAATAATTCCATTTGTTCACCCCAATTTTCTCGATATATACTAGCAGGTTCACCAATATCATCAAGTTTTTCAGCTGTAAAATAAGATTTTAATGGTTTACGTTTTTCTTCAGCTGTAAATATTAATCGACGTGAATCTGGACTCCATTCAAAAAAACTTCCATAATCATTTTTAGGTAAAATTTTACCATGTGGTGATATTTTACTATCATTTATTTTATAACCAAATATTAAATGTTCATCATGCCATATTTGTACATAATGTAAATGTTGTTCACCTTTGGTTTCTTTTGTTACTATAGCAAGATATTGACTATCAGGTGAAGCAAGACGACGAACAATATTTTTATTAATTGGTGTTACATTACTTGTAAATAATAATTGATGATTTTTTAATGAATATGTAAATGAACGAGTATAAGTTAAATCTTCTAATTTAACAAGATCCATTGTTGAAAAATAAGGTGTTAAATGAAGAATTTCATCATTAGAATCTTGACGACAAGATTCAATATCAGATAATGTTGGTTGACCAGCATAATGACGATATGTTTCAATAGCTGACGTTAAAATTTTATTATCTATCGTTGTCATTCTCGATCTGAAAAGTATTTAAGTTTATCTAATCAACTGAATATAAAATATATGTATTCGATCTCATTTTCATCGTTCAGAAAGTGTCTCGAAGGATTCCTATCTCTTCTTGAATGCATGAAAATGAACTATATCTATATGTATAATAAAGGCAATATATATATAAAATAAATGCCTCTCTAACAAGGAAATCTTCTCAGAAAGCTAAAATTTTTTCTACGAGAAGAGGATATATATGAACTAGACAAAAAAAACTAAGAGGAGATAAACATAAGTTGTAATTTCGCTGAGACACCAACACTTTATTACAATTTTTTATCGGAGTCCTACTATTGCAGTAGAATCAAAGTTTCAAATTTCTATCTGAAACTTTGCTCACATCGAGCCTTTAGATCAAAATTCACAACTATGATTCTACTACAAAATTGCAATCCTGCTGTAAAATTGTAGTAAATTGTTGATATCCTAGCTAAATCGCAACTTTCCCCCATATCTCTTTAGACTTTCTCTAGTGTATATATGCTCCACTTGTGGAAAAAATTTCAACTCAACAGTTTCTTAGCATATGTGAAGGTTTCCTCATATAAATATTTTCTAGATATTGTAATGATAGACAACTCAATATTCTACAAGAACACATCTCAAGTTAAGCTACAAAATTTTAAACAGAAATATTAGATAAATAAAACTCTGAGGCTCCAACATGCCCAATATGCGAAAATTATTTTTTTCAGAACAATTCAGAATTTTTTTGTCCCGTAGATTTGTATGAATATAATAATATAATAGAGCACTTCGGACGAGAAAAGTCTTTAGAAAAATTCATTTTAGAATTTCGACATGAAGATTTTCATAGAAACTAGACTCACTGAGAATAATTTATTGTGAAGGTTTCATATTATTTCGTTGTTCCTATCCTAAGATATAACTATAGTAAAAGTTTGTCCTATACACTATTCATATACATGAGCAGATTTCATGTACTTATTTCAGGATAGAAGCACATCAAAAGATCTGAAATTTGCACGATGAATAGTTTCAAGTCAAAGTTCGAACACGAACTTTCCTAATGTTTCTGAGAGAGATCAAAACTATTGACTAAAAAAAACAAAATTAAGCTAAGACCCTGAACTCTTCTTATCATGTTTATAGCTCATTAGGGTCTACATGATAAACATAGTTCAAACTCCAAAATGATTAATCAGTTGGAGAATTTCCCTCGTGAGTCAATAACACATAAAACATTACTTGTCCTACACAATATACTCTACTGAAGATCTCTATTCACAATCTAGCATTTCAGACTCATGCGTCATTCATTTCTTCTGAAGCTGAAATAAAATTGAAATACTTTGATTAATTTTTTGTTGTCCATTAATGCAAACTTTTCTGAAAGTTCTACCAAAGTCACAGATTCAAAAAGTTTAGAAAGAATTCATTTGTATGACTGTTCATCTGATATTTGTATTTGAATAAATATGAGCATATTGAACAATTGATACACTAACCGATGATTTATTAAATTTTTATAACTAAATCGATATATAAGATATTGTTTGAAATGAAAATGTTTAATAAATAATTGTCGAGTAGAGAATATTATTTGATGCATCAAAGAAGTTTCTGAAAACATGGAAAAAAAACATGTAGAAAACTATTATCTAAAATCAAACGAAACGTTAATCAATCTTCTAGTTCTATTTTTTATTTTGAAAAAAAAAATTCCTTTCTTAAATTTTAGCTCGTAATATAACATCTTCAAAATTTGGTATAAGACGCCATAATTGTTCATGTTCAGGTAAATTATCTTTTGTATTATTTTGTCGTTTTGGATTAGGTGGTAATAAAGTCTTAACTATGTCTACAACATCTTTTGCACAACCCCATGAAAGTGTTACACCTCCACCAGAATGACCATAGCAATGCACGACATCGATACCATCAGCTGTTTTTTCATGTTCAAGACGTACACCATTATCTCGATAAGGTCTTAAGCCAACTTCTACTTTTCCATGACGAATTTGTTCAAGAGCAGGAAAAGCTTTTGCACATATACGAAGAATTTTTCGAGTATCATTTTCATCTATGTTAGTATTCCAATCATCTAATTGAAATGTTCCACCTAAGACAACTGTATCCGATTGTGGAATAACATATCCAAGACCTTCCTCGCTGTCAACTTCATAAACTGATTTAATCCATGGTGCATAAACACGAATAATCTAGATAAAACAAAAAAAAAAAAACAAAACTACAAAAACAAAAAAGTAAATCATTTAGTTAAATTTACTTGTCCACGTGCAGGTCGAACTGTTTGATCACCAACTAAATGTCTAGAAGCTAAACCTGAACAATTAATAACAACATCAGCTTTATCTTTTAATTCAATTAATGAATGAATTTTCTTTTTTATAAATTTAACTCGGCCATCTTCGGAAAGAAAACGTTGTAATTGCGGTAAATATTTAATAACTTCAACAGCAACTGATGACACAGCATAACCTGATGTTGGTTTTAAATGATCAAACATACCAAGTTCATGTTGATCTAATAATCGAAAATGTCGAACTAATCCGACATATTTAGGTTTTTCTATAGCTTTAATGTCATCTTTATTCTGACCATTAAAACCTCGTAATCTATATAATGCAAGTTTCATAACACCAGCACGAGCAGCTTTTGTTGAAAAAAATTCACTAACAAATATATCATATGTGTAAGCAGCCCAACGAAGTATTCGTTCATCAATGTTCTTAAATCCATAAGGTTCCCAAAATCCACCTGAAGTATCACCAGTTGTTTCAGGTGTAAATTTTTCACTAATGATCGTTAATTGAAGATTTTCATTTGCTGCATATTCTTTCAATAAAGTGCATGCTGTTGTTAGACCAATAATACCTGCACCAATAATTGTAATACGATACGTATCAGCCAAGGACGACATATTATATTTGATAAAGAAAAATGAAAATATACAGCTGACTATTTTAGTTATGAATACACACGACGACGAAGTATAGTGATTTGTTTATCATTCAGTTTGCATGCTTTTGAGAAGAGAACAGAAAAAGAAATAAATGTATGTATTCATTCAGCCAATAAACATTCAATATTAATAAAAAAAAAAGACTGGATATATAACACGAGAACGATTTGCATATTTTCATCCTTATTCAATTATATTTGAAATGAAGAAGCGATCAATATTTTTTAACAGATATAAAATGTTTTTAAATCTATCAAACAAAAAAGTCAAAGTAAATTGTAAAAAATATATGTTCAGGGACAAAACTGAAATTCTGATTTTGTCCGAATAAAATCAGGATTCGACGATAGATATATTCATTGTGAAGGATTTATTCTTCCTTGCGAACTATGTATGTTTCTTTTCATCTAACTACTGTACATTCATTTCCATTCTCTCACGATCAATAAACATCGATATTGACCTTGATCTCTTTTGTTCTTATTGCGTATTAAGGGGTCCC